GGAGTTCATTCAGATCGCACTCATTTTCAAATGCCTTGCGCATGCCAAAATCAAGCTTTTTTCCCAATAAATAAATTACATATTAGGAATTCCCAAAGTTGTTCGTTAGAATAGTACAAATTTTTTAATGAGAGTAAATTCCTTTTACAATTTGTAACAAACTCCCTCAGAATTTGAACGATACATTTACTTAGCGGGCTTATTTCTAAGAGAGATACAAAATGAGTTTTTTACAGAAATTTTGATTTCATATCGTTTTTGCAGAATCTCGAAAGCGATGTCAAAATTATCGTTTGTCACAGCCAAGTTTTCAATTAATTTCAAATTATTCCTCAAAAATGACTTTAAGTAAATAAATTTTTGTATTTCACTCAAGTGAGTACTATCTACTACTATCAACTATAAGTGCAGGGAATAGTTTAAAAAAGGATGTTCACTCAGTGGTGTCACCTTCAAAGGGATGTTTACTTGTGGAAGCTTCATTTCCATATGTGGTGTCGAGCTCTGAAGCATACTACTTTGAGTACTTTGGCCCATTGGTGGAGCGCTAAAGATAAGCGGTAATAATTTTTTTATACATTTTTGCATCAAAGAAAGAATTTCATAATATTGTTTTTCAACATTATCTCTATTTTTATTATCATCTACAGTGAACTCTATAAGATTAAATTTCAATTTCATGTTGAGCATCTGTATATTTCTAAAAGTTTTAAGGTTTCCATACGATTTCCAAATTGAGTTGATTCCATTTCATTGTTTTTATTATTTTCTGACCAATTGGCAATGCGGGTTATAAGTTAAGGGGATTGAATGCGCCTCGATGCCAAAATATTTTTTCCTGCGCGAAGCACCTAACGCAGTCTATCATTGTATTCTTCCCCCCCCCCCCCCCCCTATTAATACTCCTTAGTGGGAATGAGATGAATGAAACAAGGAATGCATTGCGTTCTTAGTTTCAACGTAACTTTTTAGCAGTTGAAGTTATATCAAATTTCTTTTTTGCATTCGATTTATAATATAGGGAAGAATGGCGCTATCTTTTTAGAAATCCGGTAATAGAAACGAGTTCTCGAAAAATTACAAAAATGTAATTTAAACTGGAAAAAAACGAGAAAATTAATCAATTTATGGTGTCTTTTTTATTTAGCGCCAATCTTATGTGTGTTAGCAATACAATAGCACAAACCAGAATCCCAAAAATCATCTAGTTTTTTTTGTAGAAATTTACTTAATTCTTCTTGTCATTTTGCCTGTCTCTGTTATACCCGCAGCAAACCCTATGGCTCTTTCCTCCGCCTGATTTGCGATAAATTTTAAATCGCTATCATGAAGGATCCAAGGCCAACCAGCCCAACAGTAGCCCAATGTAATAATCGCGATGAACCTCGCATCTTTATTAGCATTAACTTGTTGGGAGTCGTATAGTTCGACGTGCGTTACAATATATTTTAAACGGCGCATTCAATACCCTTAACGCTCTTTGCGCGACTACGGACCTGCTTTATAGCATTGAAATCCATTTTGAAAAACAGTTTTTGAGAAACCACAAGTTTTTGAGCAGTGTAGAAATGAGAATCTTGAAACAGAGAGAGTTAAGAAAAATAAAAAATAATCTCTAATAAGGGTCAGGGGTACACTGTGATGATGGTCGCAACTTTGTTCTTCTATATTTACGAAATGGGGTTGTTTCACTGAAAACTGCATCCACGAGATCAAAGTCTAGATACCCAACTCGGAACAGGAACACATCAAGCACAAATATTAAAATAAACACCACTGTAACCACAAGTTAAATTTGGAGCACGTGAACAGACGTCTACTCGCTACGGTACAACATTATAATTATAAATCGTTGAAGAATGAGCTTCATTCTTCAATGATTTTGCGTGCGGGAATAATGACATTCTCACATCAAAATCGAGAAAACCTTTTCAACAACTGAATTCCGAACTGCTTATTGCTGCTTATTGATAACATTTCCCTAGAAACAACATTTAGAACTAACTTGATATAATTGGGCATCTATTTCGATACGACAGACAGGTAAAGGGTAAAGGTTGCTTCAGAAGTTTAAATTGAAAATAGCTGAAATTATACAAATTTAATAAAGAAAATGTGGATTATTTCCACAACAAAGTGAGACTTCTATCGTTTCGTATTGAGGGGTATATATGTCGTTCTCTCTTGCTTCACTCCCGTAGCATCGGAGTTGTAACGCGCGTATGTGCGTCAAACTCTCTATTCTCTTCCATTTCCTAGTATTCAGTGAATACGTGGCTCTCTCTCTTGCTTGTACAATGCTTCCTAAACTAGTCCTCCTTCGACTCGAGCAACTTAGACTTTGGACTAAGCGCACGAGTGGGGGTTAAAGACGAAGGACCGCACAAAAGGGAGATGCGGATGGACAAAACTGTTTATTAGATATACATATACAAGCTATAGATCTCTTTTTGCTGCTCTCTATATATACCTACTCTGTCTAGCAACGAAAGCCTGTGTTTCAGATATAGCTCTCACTCTCCTTCTCTTTACATCTTTTTTTTTTCTCTCTCAGGTAACGAAATGGGCCTAAACGTGACGCGCCTTTCAATTCACTCTCCATTCTCGTCCAAATATCAGACCGCCGCTAAAGAAGTTTCACTTCAAAAACTATATTATCCCCGCTCATACAACTTTTAGACTTAGCGTATGGGTTAGTTAATAAAGAGGAAGGAGCACAAAAGAAAGACGCGCAACTGTAGTGACGTCACAAGAGTATCGGCGCTTGACAATAATAGGCAAACCTCTTTGATTATAATCCTTGGTTTGTGTCAATCGTTCGTCGGCTGTCATTGTCATTGGCTGTCTTTCTCCGTTATATCTTTCACGTAACGAAATTTGCCAAAACGTGACGTTACGCTACGCCTCTTTCAAATCACTCTCTATTTTTGTCCAAATCTCAGACTCCTCTTAAAAAATTTCACTTAAAAAAACTTCAGAGTCTGAGAGTACCAAATTTCAATTTGCTTTTTACTCTGATTTGTTAAACAATGCCTGATACCCTCTGTATATTAGATTGTTCTATTTCTAAACCGTAAATGAATACAGTCACGTACCTACTACATATTTTGAATTTATTTATAAGTAATGCTGTAGTAAATAGCTATGTATTTTTCATCCGATACCGCCATACCACATACCATAGCTCTAATGGCATTCTTTGGGTATAATAACATACATACATAAGGATTTGTGATTTGTTAGTTCGGTCAGAAATTTCCTGTATGACACAATATGGATTTGTTATTTTTGTTGAAAGGCTCATGAATAGAAAGGGTGTATGATGCACATCGATAATGCTTGGTCCTGAAATTATTTATTTAACCATCACACAAACAAGCAGCTTAAGTTGCTTCTGGGCTCAACTGTTTATTTCAAAGCAATTGTGACTATAATATATAAATTTTTGTAATTTTTGAGAAATAAACTGATATTATTATTATTATTATTATTATTATCAACATAAAATAGTATATTATATACCTAGGTAGAGAAGTTGGTCATTATATACCGAAAGCTTTTATAAACCGAGGCGCGCAGCGCCGAGGTTTATAATGCGTGAGGTATATAATGACTTTCTCTACCGAGGAATATATAGAATTTTTTTTACTACTGCTAGTAGAAAATAAAAAATTTGTTTAAAATCTGTGCTCTAATTATTTTTTGTGAACGCCCTCTTGAAAGTGCTGCCCTCTATCAACAGCTTATATAACTTCCTATGTACCTACAGAAACCTGTATTTTTTTTCAATTTGACGTATGAAATTGAAATTGAACCAATAGAAACACGACAATATCCTTGCGTCATGACGTCATTTTCATTATTGACCTAGGTATATTTTCATTATTTTCATTATTAACCTAGGGAGAGAAATTCAATTTTTTCTTAGAAAAATAGATTGAATAATGTCTATTTCTCAGGTTAGTAGTAAAAAAACCTTATTTTGAATGACTTTTCTCTTTATGGGCTTTTGACTAGGCCAGTGGTTCCCAAACTGGGGGACGTGAAGCAACATTAAGGGGGGCGTAAGTCTTCTAAAAAATTGATACAAATTTCAAGCTTCAAAAAAAAAAATAGTAGATTATACCACGAGTCAATAATGATAGCTATTATTCCCGAGGATTATTACGAACTGAGCCGCGTTAGCGGCGAGGGAGTAACATTCCGAGGGAATAATAGCCATTATTGCGAGTAGTATAATACTCTACTTTATTTACGACAAATTAATTTATTTGAGATTTTCAATGAACAAATTTCATCCGTCTCATAATTTTCAATACAAATCCACAAGCACTACACGTTTGACACTGACACTTTTGTGGAATAATGACCATTAATCCCGCTACTCGTCATTAATCCCTGGAGGAATAACATATGTCATTATACTGCCAAAATCACAAATATAATACGCACATTATACATAGTCGTAAATAAAATCAGTTAAAATTTAAAAAAGATGTCTACAATCCGGCAGCACCGCTTACCTTAGCCAAAGCAGCTTTGTCATGCGATCATTGCTACAGCTTACGCTCGCTGTCCACTGTCATGCCAATTCCTCCCCTTCCAAAGTCCAGTTCAGACGAGTTACAGTGAGTAAAAAAAAATGTTTTTGTATAATGAGGAAAGGAAGGAGGGGCGCGACCACTTCTTGATTTCAGAAAAGGGCCGCAAAAGGAAAAAGTTTGGGAACCACTGGACTAGGCAAATTCGAAGCTGAAAATTTAATTGGAATTTACTAGGTTACAAATTCTAATTTCCATCATTCTGTATATTTCTGAAATTCCAAACCAAATCACTGAGGCAGAATATTATTTTGATAACATTAACATAATTTTGATATTAAATATTATCAATTGTATCGATAACAATGTTATGTGATTGCTACTATATTATTAAAGGAATGTAATTGAAAAAAGAAATAACCAAGAATGAACTTTTGCGAGTGAAAATTTACTGCAAGAATGAATTGCAATCAAGCAAACAGTTGCAAAAACACGAACAGCAGCGTGCCAAAAATGTTTCAGAGTTTTAAGTTGAGACCGCGGGCGAGAAGTTTTTCTGGATTGCCTCCAAGATCGAACAACGACCATAATTCGAAACTGTTATTGGGCAAACCTCCCCGGACTCCTAGCTCGTCGCCTAAAACAAAGGAACGTAGACGAAGTACGTAAACAACGTTTGTTTTTTTATTTGAAAAAATGTTTGTGATTTTTTGTGTCTATGTGTCGGTGTTTATTGTTTGGCTAAGGTGTAATTATAGTGAAAAATAAGCAATTACCTGTAGTAACGAAATATGTGTAGTGCGACTTTTTTAACTAACCTCACTGTATTCTTTTTTTTTTGCGCTTAGAAAATAGTAAATTATGCACCTATAATATTCACTTTGTTATCTAGTTTAATCCAGAGACAAAAATTTGTACAACTGACAGTTCAGGACGATATAGTAGTCTAAAAAACAACGTGTAAACAGTCGATTTTTATCAGCAAGGGACATCCCTTGAAAGCTTTATTCCTAGAATCTAAGGGCTTAAAGATTTAAATAAACTTCATTTCGGTAAATGCGCTGTGGTACATTTACTATTTTTGCACTTTGTCTAATAATTTATTAAAGAAACATGTCATTCTTCATTCCTAATTTACTTATAATATATAAGTACGCAATAGCACAAGTAAAAAAATAAAAACAAAAAACAAAATGAACAACACACAAAATTTTGATTTAGTATATGGCTTTAAATTTTGCGTACAAGACGTCCATGTATACAGTTTCTTTTAATAAATTATTACCCAAAAGGCAAGCGCAATACTTCCACAGAGCTTCCCTACCCACCATAGAGGATTTATAGAGCTAGTTTGCATATAGGGTCAGTCTTTATTGCTCTATTAGATTCCTGCGGTTCTGCACAAAGAACTTCAGAGTGCTTTCGGTGTATTCTTCCAGATTAAAATAGCTCCTTATATTACTCCCAGATGGTGGGTTTTCTTGGAAAGATGTGCGGTTTTATACGAAAGACTATACATGGAGATATTTGGATTCTTAAGTAAAATTCAAGTTTTTATAAGGCCTTTTGGGTGATATCGATTTTATATCTTATCTTTAAGTTCCCTTGTCAAGCTAATATACCTACATTAACTATCCTTCTTCGTTGTTTTCCATTAAATCCGTCCATTATTTTTATCCCAAAAAAAGACCCCCATCAGTCTCGGCATGGCAAAATTCAATAAATTAGCCTTTTACTGGGAAATGATAGATCGACTGGTCGTTATTGCCAACAAGAAAATTTCATCACGGGAAAATATTAATTTCGCCTTTTCATTTATCACGCCATCCGGGCGGGCATTTTCAATACATCATATACAATAGTTTTTCTTGTTTACATTTTTCCTATTTATGATGGTATGAGACAGAGTGACGTGAAATCTTCAAAATTGTTCACTCTCGAAATGGAACGTTCTCAATAATTTAGGGTATTAACAAGTCTGAAGGCGATCTAACAATTGTTTCCAAAAGTAAATAGAACCCTTATTTGAGAAAATATCGGCTCGAAAAAACTGAGAATGCCACAACGAAAATGAATTGGGAAATGGCCCGTTAGCGTCGATTATACACAGAATAAAATAAAAATATACATCGAAGAGCTGAGTGGCTTAAGAAAGTTCATTGTAGATAACCTAAACTAAACATACACTTGAAATGTTAGCTACTGAAATTATTTCTCGACATTGGGTAGTCTAAATATCATGGAAAAGTAATTATTTAATTGGAGAGCATTCCCGTGTGTTCGATTTTTAAAATTTCAACATCAATTCTCCTTTTCAGTTCCTCTAAATTATTTGGCTTGCTATTGAAATTTTTATATGCATTGCAAAATGCTCACTTAATTAAAGAGAGACAAATCAGATGATCTGAACGGCCATTTGATTCTGCCTCTTGTAAGGAAGATATTTTACATGCAAATACCATAGTATTGAACTTGAGTGAAAAATTACTCACTCTGGCTATTTTTAAAAGATAACGATTTGAGTACATAATTATTTTCGAAAATGTCGATCATCATATTCCAAATACCATTATTTTTTAAACAGGCTGGGTTTCAGATGAATAATCCATTTCATGACTAATACCCAAGCCTGGATTCCATCACGCAAAAGATGCGGAAGGAGGCGGAGAAGTAAAAAACAAGGTTTATCGGGATTGGATCATAGTATCCTGGGAACCCTGTGATGTTGGTGCAGTTGGTCATTAGCGGAAAGGACAAATAAGATTTGAAAAGTCGGTCAGGAACGATCTCTGCAGCCCTGAACGGAAACCATCTTAGAGACAGTCAATCCTCCCAGATGAGAAAAAGCTCTGAGAAATAATCACTGTCATGGACCTGCAAGCTGCAGCGTGATAAGTTAAATAGCTGAAATTACGTCTTTCCAGCTAAATACCAGTTAAACAAGAGAGTTAGCAAGGGATGCAAAGAATCCTCGGAGTAGCTACCTTCATGACTGTTGTTATTGTCGAGGGAATATATATGTTTCATTTTTTATTGGTGGTGTGAGAATTTCAACACCGTCAGCTATATTTGTATTGAAATAGCATACTTGTTCGCTCCAGACGACTTTGATTCTCTGGATGGTATTTTCTGCTTGATCCTGATGGTTTAGGATAGAAGAGCAGAAGGGCCTTAGTAACAGACAGGACGTAAAGTCACGACACTTGCACTAGGGCGTGAGACAGGTAACTTACAACTAGACTGAAGCACTTGTAAGTTGAAAAGAAGACCTCAGCCAGACAAAGCACTTGCTATGAGGGTTGAGTTAAAAACCTATAATCAGACAAAGCACCTGCTACAGGTTTAAGGAAGAGCCGAATGTAACCAGACAGAGCACCTGCTAAAATAAGGCTGAAGCAGGAGTAATTGTTAAAGCGGAGTCTCATGACTCTACTAGCGTTGCTAGACCAATGGTGACTTGGGCACCATTTAAGTAAAATAAACAACGATAAGTTTGAATCTGATTTTATTGATGAAACTGATCGCCTTTTATATACAATAAATGCTGATCTTGCAAATACCAATAATCGTCATTTGCAATAATAAAAAGTAGGTTGCTTATACTTAATTAATTCTAATATGTACAGTGCGGTAAAAATACATAAAATTAAATGTTCCAATTTGGATAAATGGATATTCTGCCGCCTCTCAATTTGTCGATTTCAGGGACTGTAATTCATATTCTTCAGGTTTGGTGGTCCTTTTCTTTCTTGTTCGAAATCTTAGATATGTGATGCCTATCCAGATACCCATAACCACCACGATTGTTGCAATGGTAGTTGTCACTCCCACTATGCTAGAATGATGTCGTATATCTTTCCATACATGGTTTTGAAGTTTAATCTGAATTGACTTCTCTTCTGTCATTAGTGAGTTTAAATCATCTGAGTGCCCAATTGCTGACTCAAATGCTGGCTGGAACTGTGAATGTTGAATATGTGTGGGTTCGTCGTGTCTATCGAGTGAGACAGCTTTGGAGTAGCTGGTTAAACTGCTATGTTCCACTCGTATTGCTGTTAGTGTTAGCTGTTTGGTTTCTATGATACAGTCGGGAGCCAGGCTGAGAATTCCTGTTGCAATAATGGCAACATCTTCCCGAACTCCAGCACAAATAATAGCTATATTGGCTGATCCATTTGTAATAAGTAACCATGTGTTTGGCGTGGCCATTTGTTTCCATATTGTAACCTCACTGAATTTGTGAATGTTTTCCATTTTTCCGCTTCAGGTTTATGATATATTTCATCAATAATACAATTGCCGTCGCTATTAATGTTTCTTATAACATCTGGAGAACAGAAAAACAGGTGATGTTTTAGTTTCAGGCATCGTTCAAATTCTTCTTCATGGAGTAAAGTAAGCTGAGAGTTCGAACGATGCTTGAAACTAAAACATCACCTGTTTCTCTATGTTCTCCAGATGTTATAAAAAACATTAATAACGATGGCAATAAATGGACGGAAAGTGATCATAGAGTTGCAAGATCGAAAACATTTTTAATGTGGAAAGTTGGTTCGAAACTCAGCAAAGAAAAAAGCAATTATAACCCAGACTAACTCAAACTAACCCAAACCAGAACAGGCAGCTCCTTGAAGTTCAGCAAATTATTTAAATATACAAGAAGAAAATGTGGATGTCGACGAGATAAATAATCAAATAATAAGCGCAATTAGGAACATAAATGGCGAACAGGAGGTATCCAAAAACAGGAGAAATTAAGCGACAACACAAACGACTAATGGAAAAAAGGAAAGAAGAAACAAAGCAATCCGATGAGACGTGAGATGTCACTACAATGCAACAGAATTAACCAAAGTGATAGAAGATAACAGAGGAATGAAGGTACCCGTCTTAGGAAACATCTGTCGCTTGGGAAAAAGCATTTGGAAAAAATTAACACCAATAATGCACTCCAAAACTAACAAATAGGAAATTTGTATCATTACTAGAGATTTTTAACTGGAATTATAACTGTAGAAGTTATTTATGAGAACTTTAACAGAATGATTGAGGAGGAAGGTAGATCTCCACCAATCACGAGAGCAGGCTGGTTTTCGTGTTAATTATGATGTTAACGACCACTTCAAACAATGTTCCTTATCGAGAAATGTATAGCGAACAACAAGCCTCTGGTTCTTATCTTCATCACTAAACGACTAATCAAAAAAAGGGAATATTAGCATTTGGCAAAAACCGGGTAGCCATGGACGAACTCAAAAACGAAATATCCAGATCTATCCAACGAGACCTGCTGGGCTATAATAATGTAACAGATAAGGTTGTGATGAAAAAGACAACCTGAAGAATGTAGGTACACCTGTCGCATATGGGAAGATGCTAGCACTCTACATCAAACGAACAGAGAATTTTAATCCACATCAGAGAATTTGACGCCGTATTGTATATGACAATAGAATAAATAAAAACATAACTAATCTACTGATCCACTCACTGTCCGATTCACACCTCATTCAATATACGATTATACGATCTATAGTTCCACTAACTGTCCGATTCAAGAAATACCTTGCCTTTTTGGCGCGAATTCTTCATATACAGCTTCGATCACTGTTCAGACATAGAATCTTCTTCTTCTTCTTCTTCCTCAGCCATTTCTCGTCC